AGTCATGAAAATAGAGCTTGTGAAGATTGAAGGTAGAACAAGGAGAAAAGTAGCAATTGACAATAAGAATCTCTACTATGTAGAAATTAATGACCTAAGTGTAAATTTTCAAGGCACCAGTGACATGACAAGATTTTTTTAGGAAAATAGCATCCAAGGACTATTGAGAAAAATTAATATCAATCAAGGACCAATTGACTTCAAAATTGCACTATTGATATTTGACTGATATTAATTTTTAAAGTCAAAAGTCCAAACTGCCTATCTAGTTAAAAAAAAGAAAGAAATAGCCACTGTCATTGGTGGTGAGGTTACCGAAGCCCCTATTACTGGCAACCAGTTTAGGTGGCCAAGGGTCCTCCCTTGGATACCTAAAAAGCTTAGTAGCAACTAGCCACCAAGTCCTTTAATTATATATAGAAAAAGAAAAATAGTAAACTAAGCCTCTAACTACTTTCATGTTATAATATAACGGTGTGTTGTTAATTTCTAAACAAAACTTGTTAGTTTACAAATGTTACTTGTTAATCTGATATGTACAATTATAAATTGAGAGCTTTAAAACTTTACACATTTTACTTGTTAAAAGTTCAAATGTATTGTTGATCACGAATTGGTTGTTATCAAAACCAAAATGAATATTTGTTAATGAATGATTAACATGTATAACTAAGCCCATCCTATTAGTTTTTCTAATTTGTTAAAACTAGAATAGATTATTATTAATTTCTAAGGAATTGTTGTTAAAACATAAATGTACACTCATTGATGAAGGACTAACACATATAATTAAGCCTATCTTATCCATTTTTTTAGCTTGTTAAAGCTCAAATTGAATGTTGTTAATTTAGAATAAATTGTTATCAAAACCTGAATCGATAATTGTAGTTGATGATTAAAAGCGTTGGTCTAATGAACTGTTACTTTTCTAACTTATTAAATCCCGATTGAATTGTTGTTAATTTAGAATTAATTATTGTTAAAATCCAAATAGATTTTTGATGATGAAAGACTAACATGTACAATTATGCTCATCTTATATGCTTTTTTAACTTATTAAAACTAGTGGATTGTTATTAATTTAGAATGAATTATTATCAAAACCCAAATAGATACTTGTAGTTAATAATTAAAAGCATAGGTCTAATGGATTGTTGCTTTTCTAACTTATTAAAGCTTGAATAGACTATTATTAATTTAAAATGAGTTGTGGTTAAAACTTAAATTGATATTTATTAATAAAAAACTAACACATATAATTATGCCAACCCAATATGCTTTTTTATCTTGTTAAAGTCCAAATAAACTGTTGTTAATTTAAAATAAATTATTATTAAAATTCGAATGGATACTTGATGTTGATGATGAAAAACACAAGTCTAATGGAATAAGTATATAAACAATAAGCAATTCTAAATTAACAATAATTCATGCCAATTTTAACAAGATAGAAAAGCATACAAGATAAGTATAATTGTATATGTTAGTCTTTTATCACCAAGTGTCTATTTGAGTTTTGACAACAATTCATTCTAAATTAGCTATAGTCCATCAGGCTTTAACAAGCTAGAAAAGCATATAAGATGAGCATAATTGTACATGTTAGTCTTTTATTAACAAATATCCATTCGGGTTTTAACAATAACTAATTCTAAATGGTAAAGTAGCAAATTTAGCCATATACTATATTTCGAGGAGCATTTTGTAGCCTAAACTATCAAATGGTGCAAAATAAATTATGAACTTTAAAAAATGGAGTATCAGTAGCCTGCTATTAACTTCAACTAACAGACGTTATGCAGGCCCACAATAACACGTGGCACAACACGAGCATGACACGTCAGCATAGTAAAAGTGTAAATTTATCTACAAACTATTTTTTTGAAGAGCACTAAGTAACCTCTAAAAAAATGGATCATCCAATACCTTCCCATTAATTTTGACAAAACACTATTTATTTTTATACTTACGATGCCCACAAAGCATTAATCTTTCCAATCTTCTTACTTTCGTTCTCAATATCAACTTTAGAAGAAGAGGTTCAATTATGCTCATCCTATATGCTTTTCTAGCTTGTTAAAGTCCGATGGACTATAGTTAATTTAACAAGCTAGAAAAGTATATAGGATAAGCATAATTGTACTGTTAGTCTTTTATCAATAAGTATCCATTTGAGTTTTAACAATAATTAATTCTAAATTAATAACAATCAAATCAGGATTTAACAAGTTGGAAAAGCAATAGTCTATTAAACCTATGCTTTTAATCATCAACTACAAATATCGATTCAGGTTTTGACAATAATTTATTTTAAATTAATAATAATTCATTCGAGTTTGAACAAGTTAGAAAAATAGATAAGATGAGATTAATTGTATGTGTTAGTCCTACATCAAAAAGTGTATACTTAGGTTTTTACAACAATTCATTTAAAATTAACAACAATCTATTTTGGTTTTAACACGTTAGAAAAATCAATAAGATGGGCTTAGTTATACGTGTTAGTCATTTATTAATAAATATTTATTTAGATTTTGATAATAATTTATTCATGATTAATAACAATATATTTAGACTTTTAACAAGTAAAATGTGTAAAGTTTTAAAGCTTTCAATCTGTAATTATCTATGTTAGATTAATAAATAACATTTGTAAAATAACAAGTTCTATTTAAAAATTAACAATACATTGTTATGTTATGATGTAGAAGTGGTTAGAAGCTTGATTTACTACTTACATTTTTTTTTACTGTATGTAAGTAAAGGGATTAGTGGCCGCTAGGTGGCCAAGGGTCATGGGATCAAACCCTCCCTTGGCCACTTAAACAATTATTTTTTGAATAAATATGTCATCAGTACTGGAACTCTAGTGATTAGCCACCGATGACCCTACCTGCGGTAGGGGCTCTAGTGACCTTGTCGACAAGAGGGGTCAAATGGTTAGTGTTGACAACAATGGGGTTTCTTTGTTTTTTTTTAACTTGAGGGGCAATTTCATCATTTTGTTTATGAAATTAATATGAAAGAAGAACCAGAGAACTGTAAAGCAAATATCAAATCATTTACTCATTGTGTGATATAAATTTGACATAAAGGTTCTTGGATGCTATTCTTCCTTTTTTTTTTAAAAAAAAGGGTATTTTGATAAATTTACATACAAATTTAATTACATCTAAAGATCTTGGGACTACATAATAATTTTTGTAATTGATGGGACTTTAGAATAATTTCAGTTGTTGTGTAGGAGTAATTCTCCTAAAATGTTATTATCTTCACATTTATTTATTTAATATTTTGTTACTCCCATGCAATGTCCAATTTTGATTTCGCCATCAAGAAGTGATGTTCCTTTTTTTTTACCAGCAAATCAAGAAGTGTTATTATGACACATTCTTTTAAAATTAAATGGGACTTTTGCACATATAACTTATATCATAAGACTAAATAAAAGAAATAACCTATCCTTTTTTAAATTTTAAAAATAGCCTTTTTAATATTTAGTTGGTATATAATTTACAAAAGTGCCCTTTTAAAATTATAACACTTTGCTTTTTGCAAATACCATAATAAATTCAAAATACGAGAAATCAGGCGAATGAGAGAGATAAACATGAGCTACAGTTACAACGAAAAAAACGAGTAGATCAAACTTGAAGATGGAAGAAAGCAAAGTAGTGTAAGTGAGCCATAGTCATGACAACGAGAAACAAATAAGAAGTGAGAGATATCAATGGTACTCGACGAAATAGAGCATGCCGATAAGGAAATAGAGCTAGAAAATTTTTTACAGACTATGTTTGATCTATTTTAGGCAAATGACTATGCATTTTTTATGTTAATGATATGCGATACTATATCATTAATATACGATTGTATATTGATGATAAATAAGTTTATATTTGATTGTTTGGTTATATTGATTTGCAAGAATATATCAATGATATACTATTATATATAGCTATTGCTAATCTACTATCATAAATTAGAAACACAAAAACAACATAATTATTTGCCCAAAATAGATCAAATTAGGTTTGTAAAAAATTCTAGACACCTTATCTTATCATAAAAAATTAAATACCTAAAATAAAAATCATGGACAATGAGAGAATAATATGTGTTTTCTGTTAGTAATTCAAATAAATTTCATGATCAATGACAACAAATAACAAATTATGAACAAATGATTTATTGATTCAGTGAAGATATTATGCAGATAAATGAAGATGATGAAAATTCGATGATAGATAATACTCTTCAACTTTCAAAAAATAGAATACAGGATTGAACTGTGCAATGTAGAATGTGGAATCTAATGATGGAGTTTAGTCTTCAATGTCAAATCTCAGCTACATAATATATCTAGAAAAAACAGAGAGGGAGAGAGAAGAAAAGCATTAGCATATGAGACTTCTCTTCTCTACGATGAAAAAATGATTGTGAAAGCACAATTCAATAAGTTAAAGATTAGTTACAAAAAATATATTGTGTTTTAATAATATATTTATTTTCAGGATAAAAAAAAATCACATTTAATTGATTTTATGAATGGGTGAAATTTCAAAATATTCAAAAAGCTTATCTATAATTTATGGAAACTGTATTTTTTGAGAATATTAAGCTAATTTACTAAAATTAAATTGATATTTGAATATTGTAATCATTTTGTTTTGTTTGTTAGTTCCATAATGTTAAAAACTTGCTCTTCATTTGGGATTTGGGAAGATATATGAAATGACCCCTACATCTAATCCATATCCAAATAATATTATAATTCTAATATATCCCAATTATGAGGCATAAATAGTGGAATTCATTTTTCATGATATATAAGCATTCAATTATCAATAAAAAAAAAACTTGTACCATATCTTGTTATTATTGAACAGATCAAAACCATTTAATAGAGTATTAAAATTAACGATTAAGTAAATGTCGGTCAAGTTTTAATTATTTTAAGTAGTTTGGATTATATATCAGTCAAGTTCTGCAACTGAAGATCAGGGAAAAGGAAAATGCATTTAGATAGAAAAAAGGATAGGTACATATTTCATTTTCCTTAAAAAACACTTTCTTATCTACCAAATGCTAAATATAAGTCTTGTTTCTTGGTAACATAGGTTCTGGGGATGATTGTAAGGAATGGTTTGGGCTTGTCCTCTGTGTTTATAAAAGGGCTTGCATTAGGAAGTGACAGTTTAAGCCCAGCACTATGCGTAACCCTTTGATTCAATCTAATACGTCTCCACTTCAGTTTTGTATTTCTCAGGTTTCATTGTTTGTAGCTGTCTACTGACTAATGCAGAGTAGACGCCATTGTTGCTGAGAAGGTCTTCATGGGTGCCACTCTCCACAATTTCACCTTCAGAAACGACCAAGACTTTATCAGCACGCTTCACAGTTGATAGCCTGTGAGCAATAACCAGAACTGTCCTTCCCTTCATCAGACATTCCATAGCATCCTACACAATTTGAATCACTTGAACGTTATTACGTTATATGTTTTATGATACAGAAAACACAAAAACAAAAACACATTGAAGATGATTTTTTTTTAAATTGAATTGAAGATCATATTTAGACTGCATCTAGATCTTATGTTATAGCTCCAGCGTGTGAGCGTCTCATTACTTGCTCAGCCAATAAATCAAAAATAGCAAAACAAACAGACAAAATCCATTCTTAAAAGTCTAACCCAGTATTGCCTTGGAGATTTAATAACAGGATAAAACAGTTTTTCCAAGGTTAGAACATTATTTAGGCTATTAGTCCTTCAAGATTTTGCAAGCAAACAAATCCACAAGTACACTTAGTATCATATCAGTGAGTGAATGATATTAGTAACTTAGTTATTGCGTTTAGTGATGATCAGTCCTTATAAATAGGTGATTATTATGTAGTCAAGTTACATGTTGATAGAGTACCGTGGATCAGGGGGATATTGGATTGGATCTTAGTGCATCAGTTTGTTAGCATATGTTAAGGAGTTGTTAATTTATTTTCAGTCGCAAATAATAATGAGACATTAGCTAAATATCTCAATTAGGGTTTGTTTATTAATAAGTCACTATGGTTATGATCTAGTTGGTTATTCATCCTCTAATTTATTTCCTTTCACTTTTTTCTCTCTACCTATATTGGATCCTATCATATCATATGTCAAATGGTATTCTGAGTTTATATTTATGTAATATTTAATTTTTCTTAACACAACAATAATTATTGAAACATTCAATCATGCGATACCAAGCTGTCATAAAACATTCATTTGCCATTTTTTGGCTTCATATTTGCCAAATTGTTAATTGAGAACTTAACAGCAAGAAGCTAACACATACGTCTAAGTTTTGTCCATACTCTTATTATAATGTTAATGTTTGTTCTCCAATAAACTAACCTGTACTAAATATTCGCTTTCAGCATCCAGGGCACTAGTGGCTTCATCGAGGAGAAGAATCTTTGGGTTCATAAGCAAAGCCCTGGCAATTGCTACTCTCTGTTTCTGCCCCCCTGAAAGCCTTACCCCACGCTCCCCAACATGGGTCTGGTATTTATCTGTGAATTGTGATATGAATTCATGCGCATTTGCCATTTTCTGCATTCAAATTCATAACAATTTTGAGGGATCCAAAGTTAGGCAACCTGAGGTCATGCTCATGAAAGAAAGTATTGAATCTTACGGCTGCATTTTCTATATCAGCAGGATCAACTTTGCCGTCAAATCCATAAGCTATGTTATCCTCTATGGAACAGTTGAAAAGTACAGGCTCCTGACTCACAATACTGATCTGCATATCAAAGAGCATACTGTAAGCTAGGTCACCAAAGTCACAAGCATCAATATGATCAAGATACCTTTTTGTGCAGATGCTTATGTGATACTTCTACCAGAGGAACCCCATTCAGCAGGATCTTTCCCTTGTTAGGGTCATAAAATCTTTCAATTAAGTTTGCTATTGTAGTCTGCAGTTAACACATGAAAGAGTTTATGTGTTTTACATATTTCTCTTGTCAGTTCATTAAGCTCTTATTTTTCCATGATTTAATCCACAGCAAGGCATAACAGAACGTTCGTTGAATTAAAACCCAGAAAAGAGTGGGGAAAGAAAGGGAAGATCACCAAAAGCATAAGGGATATACCTTTCCACCACCACTTGGACCAACAAGAGCAACCTTTGAGCCAGGCTGCAATTTCATTGTAATTCCCTATTCATGAAAAAGTGTAGTGAACTTGGTCATAATAATTTCCCATTCAACTAGACGGAGGCTCCATAAATTGCAGAGTCTGGAAATGAGTGATACTTTTTTATAACTTATAAACACAATCTGCTATAAATTTTATATTTCATATTGATATCGATGATTATAGCGTATATACCACCAGAACAGAGAACAAGGAGGAAACTGCTACCTTAAGTACCATATGACTAGGGCGAGATGGATATGCAAACCAGACATCATCTAGTTCCACCTCCCCATCTTGTCCTCTACAAGAATAGGCATTTTAGTGTCACTTATCATCGCATATTATTTTTACTTTTTTAGTAGAAAATGGAAATGTAAGACTGATCTATCCCTCCAAAACTTGCGTTGTTCCTGGAAGGCAAAGAACTTTTTTTCTTTTCTTTCTTTTTTTTTACTTTGCCTTGAAAATAGTTAAAAGACAAAAGCTAAGAAGTCCAGAAAACTGACCCCAGAGGACATTTATTTCCTGACATTGGCATTGATGATACACGATCAAGAAGTTGAAACACCCGCCTGCTTGCACCAACAGCTTTCATAGCCATGGTATACAATCCTGAGAGACCAGATATAGAATGTCCCACTGCAGGTGATGCAGTTGTGTTAGGCAACTAAAATGTAGCTGCATATTAAATGAAAGTAGCACCTTGATCAACTAAAACGTATATTTGATATTTGCAAAGTTATTTACGGGCCTTCACTTGAAGTTATTTTCCACATGTTCCATGACAGGTCATATCACCAATAGATCATACATTAACTAACCTGTGAGACTATAAAGAATGAAAGACGCAAGATCACCAGGGGACATGGAATCTGTAATGGTCAAATAAGCCCCATAGATAACTACTAAAATAATTGGCAGTGAAGTTGCTGTATAAATGCCTCCAGAAAAGAGTCCGACAACTTTCTGGTTCACCAGGAAACTGAAGTTAGAAGTTGTAATTGTAAATTCTAACAAATGGATAGATATACAGATAAGCACACGTGGAATCAATAATGGATAACTCACAGCTTGTTTAAGTCCAAGCTTAAGTGTCTCATCAACTTTCTTAGAGTAGCGTGATATTTCATATTCTTCTTGGGCGAAAGATCTTACCGTCCTTATGGCACCAAAGGACTCCTGAGCATCAAAGGCTCACAGAATTACTCAGTTTGAATAGCTTTTCCTATCACTTGAGATATCATTCTTCCGTAAGATTAGCATTTCATGTGATAGACATACCTCAGCCATGGAAGCTGCTGCTGCAGCTGCATCTTGAGTTTTCTGAGAAAGTTCACGCAGGAACCAACCAAATTTACGTACAGCAATAAAAGTGGCAGGCACGACAGCTAAAGCCAACACTGGAAGTGGTCCAATGATAAAGAAAATTGGGGGGAAACAATAGTCATGATGATTACTGACAATTCACAATTTCACGACACTAAGCTCTGGATAGTTCATGAAACAAAGCTATTTTCAATTACTTACATGTTAACTTCCATGACGTAAAAAACATGAAGCCAAGACCAATAAATGCAGTCGATAAGCTACTCAGAGCATGAGAAAGATTGGTAGTTGCTGCATTTTTTATGATCTGTGTATCTTCAGATAGCCTGCTCATAAGCTCCCCAGTACGGGTAACATCAAAGAAGGCTATCTCCTGCAAAACTCATCCATGGTAAAGAAGGCTTTTTTTTTTTTTTCTGGGACAAGTTGAAATGCTAATTGTAAAGTTGAAAGATTTTAATCTCCAAATGCATAAAAAAGATAAATATTTCAAAATATTCATGATGGAAACTTTGTTTGACCTGGATTATGAGGTGACTAAATAATCTTTTTCTGAGCCGAGCAACAACCCTTTCACTGGCTGAGGAAAAAAGCCAATCATCAAGTGCCGTTGAAACTGATCTGAAATTTCAAGAAATCTTGTGAAAGATCAGAAGGCAATTACGTGCAGATCAAGCAATTCAATCAAGGAAGGATCCTACCCAACAACAACAATCAGAAAAATGTACAGTATGGTGTTTTTGACAGCTTCCAAAGCTCTAGCTTTATCTTCAGGAGTTTGAGTATCTCCCGAGACAATGTCAATTATCTTCCCACCAAATTTTGGCTGCATCAGGAACAATTTCATGTTAAATCTGAAGACATGAATACTTAAATGACTTCATCTGTTTGTGAGATAGAGCCCAATTGTGACATATACAATTAAAATATCTGATGTTGATGCAATTAAAAGAGCCAGCGTTGCAAATATCAGCTTCCCCGCTTCAGGCTTTGCCTGTAATTAAGGGAATATTAGGAATTATAATAGTCACAAGAACGTGGTATCAGCCAGAGATATAACCACTTACAAGCGACAGCACCCTGGCAAATCCCACATTTGCTGCCTGATTTTTCATGCATAAAGTTAGCAGTCCTACAGAAATCTGATCATATGAGATGTTATAAGAGGCTTCGAAGATGATGGGGGACACTTACTGCATCAGCACGTTCAAGGTCTGTCAGTTCATTCAATGAGGCACTGTCGCTCTTTCCCCCTTCCTGTAGATGGGGATAAATAATGTAACACAGATAAATACAGTTTTAGAAGCATTTGTAAATCTATTTATCAGCTTTTTTTTAAGGAGGTATGAAGATCTGGTTAGAAAAGGAAGGAGGTGAAACTTTTTTGAGGATAAGATATCCTCAAACCAAAAAAAAAAACAGAAGTTGGATAAGTGATTTCCTTAAAAACCAATGCGAAGAGCACCAAATCTAACTGCACAATTCAATCCATGATAGCAAATATATTCTGCGGTTAGTTATAGAAAATGCATAATGAGCAATCTGAGGGACAACTTCTTGTTCCATGGAACGATTTTTAGGTAGCCTTTGAAGAGGAAATGGTGCATGTCAATTAAACCCATCTGAGACTGGGAAAACCTATGATCAATCAGATTTGAAAAAGGCGATTCCAAAGTAAGATCAGAAGAAAAGACACCAGCTATATTTAGAACCGAACATAGCCTATAGCAGAAACGTTTGAGTACAAAAAGCTCAAAGTCCTGAAGGGCAGAGAATCATGTATTGACACTTGATAGTTTAATGGCAAGCCTGTCTATATTTAAATATTTGTTGAAAATCTTTTGGCCTCTACTTTCAAACGTTAAATGCAAAGAGTTATAAAATACAGATTGTCTTCATGCAGAAGTCCCAAACAGCATCTGCATCAGAAGAAACTACTTTATGCACGAATTTGACTGAGAAATCAATAGAAAAACAAAACGCCTCAAACGAATAGCAAAATACGGAGAACAGGAACGTCGGCTTTACTTTGCGCTCTAAGAGAGGAGCTGTTTCACTTGTTGAGCCCATGTCGTTCACAAATCACAACCAGCAAATCAATACCCCAAATGCTACTCAGCTCAGTGACTGTGAGCCAAATGGTTTCTTCTCTTCCTTCCATTTTAGATTTAAGAAATGCGAAGGTCAGGAGTCAATGGAATTTGCATTGAATATTGATTCATGTTCCTGTCATGACAAAGTGGAAAATTGGATTAAACCAATGAGCATTCAGCCCAACTTCAATATTACGTGGAAGGATTAAATAACATATATTTCGAACTCACTTGGCTACTCACGGGGACAAGCGTCAAGAAACAGAGACGTTTATTGACAGCGGAAGGGAATTTTTGACCAGGTCCTGAGTTTCTTTCGGGCGAAGGAAGGTGCAATCGGGTTATCACATGTAGCCTGTTTGGATAGCCTGTTGGAATCAATTCTAAGTTTAAAATTATGATTTTAAAAATTTTTATTTAAATATTTTAATTTTTTTAAACTTTATTTAATTTTCAAAACTTTATTTAAAATAAGTTAAAATTTGTTTCATTTTAAAAAATCAATTCTGAACATTATTAGTTTATTACTTTGAATTATAGAATTATTCACTTAAAATTAATTCTGAAAAAATCATTAATTTTATCCCAATTAATTTCTAAAAATTTACTCAAACATCATCATATTTTAATAATTAATTTTTTTTAATTGACAAACACACCAGTAATCTTTTTGTCAACTTCACCTCAAAAAAAAAAAAAATAAGAAGAAGAAGAAGAAGGAAGTTAAAGTATATTAAACTTGGAAGGTGCAACCTGGTTATAATATGTAGCTTTATTATTGTTAATTTTATCCCAACAAATTTTTATATTAATTTTTTAAATATTAATAAAATATTTTTAAATATTTATATATTAAATTTAATTTTTTAAAAATAATAATGGTTGACAAAAATAATTATTTAAAATTAATAATGTTTAAGTTAAAGGACTGAAAAAATATTTTATAAAATTAAAAATTAAATTAAATTTTATATAAAGTTAAATAAATTTTACGAACAAGTATTTAGGTGTTACTTCTAATAAATTCCATTTTCAAAATTTTGAAAATGTACAAGTCAAGTTTTAAAAATTATTTAATTTTATATTTTTGTCTTCTCAACTGTTGTCGCTGGTGGATCCGATCGGACAATAATCATGAGGATGGGCTTATTTAGAGATTTAGTGAAGCCAACTTCGTTGCAATATTGCATGACTTTTGAAAAAAAAATTAATGAGCAAATATGATTTTAAATTATTGCTCAAAAATTATCCTGAATCTTGAATTCTTAAAATATATAAAATTAAATTCTAAATTTTTAAATTCATAGAAAAATAAATTTTGACCGTTAATTTTTTAACATCATTATTGCCCATGTAGGTACTGTTTAGGGTTTATTTTTCTACGAATTTAACCCTAACTGTTATAGTATCTGCATAGACAGTAATAGTGTTAAAAAAGTTAACAGTCAAAATTTATTTTATATATTATAAGAGTTTAGGATTCGGGGTAATTTTTAAATAAAAATTCAAGTCCTATTTACTCATTAATCCCTTAAAAAAATATAAAGAACTTTGAAGTAAATACTAAAACAAATCTAGCTATTATGGTGGTTTTGATGTCATAATATATGAAGTTATAAAGTACACAAATGAGTATGGCAGTGAATTTTGTAAAGCGGTTGAAAAGTAGAGCGATCTTCACTCTGTTCTGTCCAAGGATTAGGAAGAGAGAAATACAACAAAAGACTTGCAATCTACAAAAAATTAAAATATTTTTTTATAAAAATGTTTTTATATAACCTTTAAAAATATTTTTTTTGTTGTTCCTGTTAAAAAATAATTTTGCAATTTAATTTTTGGAGAGTTTAATTTTAAATTTGCAATTGGTTATTTGAATTTATACCAAATTGCAATATTTCTATGAGAAAACCTTTCTCAAGTTTTATATAAACAATCTAAATAAAAAAGTCCCGTAAAATTATAAAATTATTTTAAAATCTTATGTCGTTTATTCGAGTTGATTTCACCTGCGGTGAAAGATTTTCCAACGGTGTGAGTTTCTTTAAAAAGAGGGATTTTTTTATTTTTTATAGTTTCATATTAAAATGACATGTTTCAATTGACATTTATGCGGCCGTACCATGTGCAATAGTGCGTACCAAGTATATGTTTTCCGCTTGCACTTATTTTCACTTGTGGTTTCATTAAAAAAAAAAAAAAGAAAAAAAAGGGAGGCTCTTCCAAGTTCCAACCTCGCAAACAGGGCATAAGATAGTGAAGTGTCATTCTCAGCCGAAGAGGAAGGCAGGTCAGAAGCTAGAAGCAAGCAGAACAGACAAACAAGAATATAACGCACCTTTGGTGGCAAAACTGGGAAGGAGAAGGCCCAAACCCAAGTGGATGCATTTGAGGTGTGGTGAGCAAATTAAACAGATGGAAAAGCCATGAAATTCCTTCTTGTTTTCTCTTTTTTGGGCGGCGTGGGCCTGCAAAAGGAAACCTCCAAGGGATCCTTTGATCTCCATTTTGGACCAAAAGAAGGCCACCGCTAAATAACCAAAACACGACAAAACCTCTCTAAAAGACACATTATTCTTTCTTTTTCTCTTTCTTTTTAACTTGTCTTTAGTTGTGCAATATACACATATACTTTTAAAAAATAAAAAGCTCTGGTATAATATCGATTTTTATATTTTTGTGGCCCAGGAATAAATCTTATTATCTCTTAGGATAAGAACTGTAATTTATATATTATTCTCAACTGTAATAATATCATATTCTACTTGTAAAATTTGTTATACTGCAGACCAAGTATGTAACATGCATAACAACTTTTTGAAATAGCATAACTGTACTTTAATTTTTTTTACATATTGATATACTAATATCTACAATAAAATATATCACAAGTTAAAAATAAATGTGTCTAGTCTAACATATAGTAGATGTCAACATTTTTTTCTTTTAAAAAAAAAATTACTGCCTTCCATCTTACAAGTGGCTTTCAACTTAGCTAAATCATTATTTTTTTTGAAAGGATTACATTAAAGTCCTACACAAGAAAATTAATTACTGTAAGATCTATTGACAACTGAATTAAACTATATTAACAATAAAATTAGTTGTTAATACAGTTTAGTTTAATTGTTAATAAATTTTATAATAATTAATTTCATTGTGTGGGATTTGGTTGTAATTTTTTTTTTGTAATAGCTAAATCATTAATTTTATTTGTAAATAAATTGAAAAGGGTTTTCATAATTAAATATACTCCTACAAAATTCAAAGGTGGACAATCATAACAAAAAAGTCACTATCTCCATTTCAAATATGAAGCATTGTTAACTAAAATAGACCAGCTAAACAAAAAATTAATTGTTAGGTACGACCAACTAAACAAAAAGTTAATTGTTGGGTATTTAATTTTTCAAATTTTTTTCAACATTGCCCTTCTTTAATGTTCTACTATCCATTGTTAAATATTAGGTAGGAGGTAAGGTTCTCCAATATTTCCAAAGGCATTTTAGGTAATAAAGCATTATCAATTACTCTTAAAATTTCCGTAGGGTGTCTTATACATTGGAAATAAAATTTTACAAACCATGCCTTATATTTAAAATCGATTAGAAAATACGGTACTCTCTCTAGATTAAGAAATAAAATATCTTCTAAAAGCTCTACTTAGTCTTAAATATAAAGCATTTGGTATTAGTTTTTACAATTATTTTTTCAGTTACATCCCTCCTTTATTTAATACTCTGTTTTGTTTTTTTTTTTAAAAAAACATGTATTGGAATCATCATATATATATATATAGAATAAAGTTTAAAAAGATTAAGATTTGGCCTAATTACATTCTATGAGAACAGTTAAATAGTTATCAAGTACCAATAGCTTATATTGTGGTGTATAATAAGTGAAAGCACTAATGATAGTTGATGCAAAGAACAAGTGAACTTATATAAAAAGAATGATAGAAGGCAGGGTGAGCATTCAAATTAACCGTAGCGTAGGATCACATCCACAGCAAGCCTCCGAAGACACATGGACCCCTCCCTGTAACAACCCCTGGGAGTTTCACGAATCAGTCAATTTTGTAACTTCCATGCTAACTTACGTAACCCCTGGGATCACATTTTTTCTGGACTAAAGTGCCCTTATATTGTGTTTGAAGCCTCGTCCACCAACAACTCATTTTTTGAAATGCAGCCGCCTTGTAACAACTTTCTACCGTTATTGGGTGTTAGCCATTCCCATGAGCTACTTCCTCCGCGTCCACGTTCCATCCCCATAACGCTTCCATGTATCACTATGTCAAGGTCATATTTTCCATGCTATCTGCTTTAACATGTATTCATATTATATCAATCAATCAATCTATTCATGTTAATTATATTCAATAACATTTCGTTATGCCATTTATTTTTATATAATACGAGCGAGGGTTCCATGTTATAATTCACTTTTCTAATTGATTTCATACATTACAAATACAACATGGGAAACATTTGATTTATTAGCTACAGCAACATACATAAAGAAACCACATTTTCACTAAAACAACCTCAAGTGCGCGCGCGCGTAATCTTATATAGTTCAATATAGGAAACATTTGGTTTAACGACAGAAACATTCAAACCCCTGGTTTTGTTAAGACTCACACACCCAATTTGCACGCCCGCGTAGTCTTATTCATTCATGTTACATTCGCTTTAAATGCTTGAATGCATAATAAATACAAACAATCTCTTTATCGTAATAATTGCGTAGATAGTTGTTTAATTTCTCGTAAATAATCTCGACTTAATTGTATAATATGATGCTCTCCTTGCTCTTTTACCTTCTATAACATTTTTACGTATTCAAATGACATATATAATTAGATTATATAATTCTTTTTTACATCTAATTTCATATCTATTCAATCCATGACATGTATCAACGAATATAATTTAATGTAGAGAAAATGTAACTTAAGGTCCTTGTAAAATCACCCCCACCATAGAATTAACCCGAATGAATTATTAACTTATTTGAAAACAAGTTAACTTTAGTTAAAATAGATAAACCATAAAAGAGATAAAAGTGGGAAGATCCCAAGTTTCCAACAGATAAAACAATATTAAACCTAATAAAACTAATGTAAATTAGAGTATAATTATAGCAAAAGCAAAGGTTACCATTTTGTATTAAAACATTTTTAAAATAGCTTGACAACACCAAAAACCCACAAATTTAGTCATTTGCTATAGTGAACTCCTTACTACACCAAGTGTCACGACATAGGTGCCATACTGCAATGCATTACACAATTAGAACATGATGTTAACAAATGACAAATGACATATTTACGGGATGACTTCCAACACTCTGTCTGTCATCCGATCCAAATAAGGCTATTTAGGTATCTTCAAAAAATTCTCTTCATAAACTAACTAATTGCACTGGGTTTAACCCCACATCATTTCACATTAACTAGTTGGACACCCAAGTGTATTTAAAATACATTTCCACACATACAACCACAAAGGTTATCCTAAACCTACCAAGGTGCCAAAAACTTAACTCGACACCTATACAATATCCCATGGACTCAAGATAACTTGTGTATTATATCATAGCAAACATATCACACATATAACACAAAATCAATCCTCAACCTCTTAATCTAAAAATAACAAGGGAAGAGATTCTCATCATTGCATATATCAAAATAATCATTCTTTTGCGACAATAAAATAATAACTATATTTTCACTAATACTTCAGCCCTAATAAAATAACTCAATCATATAACAATGACTCTAAGATCCCAAATAAATCAACCCAATAATGCATGTCAATAGTACAAGTATAACTAAAATAAACTCCCGATTGGTAATATCGAATTTAATTACACATATAAAGCAATAAAAAGAGACCTGCAAATAGGAACAATGTTCCTAGGCCTCCAATGCCTTCCCTCTTTCTTAACTTGAGCTAGTGTCTATAAAATGTTAAGAAAAGAAGTGAGTACAAGCGCTTAATAATCAATGTATATCTAATTTATACAAATACAAGTTAATTAATCATAGTTATGCTTGCCAACATTCTCGATATAAGATTTTATAACCACAAATTTACCAAACATGTGACTAATAATAATGATATGTATGATCAATGTCTCCCTTATAACCTTCTGGTACCTCTGACTGAAACTATAGGCTATTTTATTAACTAGGATTTCATTTGTATGAATGGACTATTCAAGCTTACTAATCATGAGGAATAACTTAGTCAAAAGTCACTACACTCATTCTCGAACCACAACTTCTTCCATTCTTAAATTATTAGGGTGTTGTTAACCATAAACTAGTCTCCTCAAGAAACAAGTAAAGAAATGCTAAATTCAAATCTCTCGACAAATAAAGGAGAGTTCCCTAACAAACAATAAGATAGTTTCTCGACAAATAATGGGGCATAAGTTAGCATTTGGTTATCGAAGGATTACCATACCATGTGGATTTACATTATTCCTCTCCCTAGGATGTACTACCACCAATCATGATTATGCAACTATATGCTTACTCACAAGACAAGTATGCTAGAAATCATAACTCTATTCAAGCAGGATCTTATATTCCATAACTCAATCATTGATACCATAATCATGCCAAATTATCATAATCGTCTCATATCATCATGCTTTCTCCACAAGCCACATTTTTCATGTCACACAATTAACAATGATTATCCTCTTCCATATAAATTGCCATGAAATCATATAATATTCAATATTTACATAGCATTTATATACAATTCATTCATTTGATCACACTTTACAAAACTCAATTTAATTGCCAACTTTAAGGCACAATTGTATTTCAAACATTTCAAAGCATAACACATATTTCTTTCTAGTTATAAAACTTCTATAATCAATTAAACAAATAAATGCACAAATTAAATAACCCCCAGTTATATACCCCTCAATTATCACTTACTTTTAAAGCTAGTTAAAAGCCCACATGGTATACAAGATAATTAATCTACAATTAATCATACCAATCACCATTAACAACAACATAATCACACTTCTAACTCTCACATTCAGCACTTTAAACACCCAAAATTACCAACTCTTGAGTTTAGCCATAACCATTAGATTTATTAGCTCTCACTCTAGCCTTAGCTAACTTTATTAAACTCTTTAACTACCATTAATGGCACTTTAGGACATAAGTTCATCCATTAATGAGTGCTCACTCTCTTAGATGCCCAAAATTACTAATACTAAGTTTAGATAATTTAAAAAATTCTCATCAATTTCATTTAAGTCAATAGGTTTAAAATTAATTTTGGTATGTCTAGGGGTGTTTGGATATTTAAAAAAATTATAACTTTGAATTCATAATTGATTTTGATATGTACAATGAGTGTTTGAATATTTTTAAAAAAACATGATTTTAGATTCATAATTAATTTTAACATGGAACAAGGGCACTTGGACATATTTTTGCAAAATCATGATTTTATTGTATTTTATTTTCAATTTTACTTTTCAATTTTATTTTTCAATTTGGATTAAAATCAATCTTATCAATCAATTTTATAAATCAACTATATACCACATAACATAATTAATTATATTTAGAAATAAAAAGTAGAATTAATGACATTCAAAATTAATCATATTAATTAATTTTTTCATAATCAGTTATACCCAATTGAAATCAAACACCTCTATTATGTATTTAATTAATTGATTTTTTTTAGTATGAAATTCTTAATAATAATACTCTCTCTGTCTTAAATTATAAGATATTTTTTAGAGAGATTTAGCATCTCAAAATATAAATGGACAAAATAAGGCTTTATTAATTATACTTTTTCTATATTACCTTTATCATTATATTCTCTCTGTTTAATATTTTTTTATAAATATAATATTAAATGTAGGGTATTTTTGAAAGTTTATATTTTTTTGGAAAAAGTAAAGTTTAATGAGTTTTATTAATATACTCCATCTGTTAAAAAATATAAGGCATTTTTAATCGAATCTCACCTCCTAATAAAGTAATTACCTACTTTTCAACTAACCCTATTTTTTCATGTTTACCCCTATTAAACACCCTACAATAAATATAAAATTATTATCAATAAGGATATTTTTTTAAAAAAGAAATAATTATATCTCGAAAGATTAAAAATGCTTTACATTTTTTAACATCCAACTCCTTAAAAAATATTTTAAACAAAGGGAGTATATAATTTTAATTAAAAGTATCTTGTAATTTGAGATAGATAACAAATTAATAACTACCAAAAATCAATAAACATAATTAAGTTATTCATTTCCTTGATTATTACCCAAGGAATTATGTTAATCACTTTCCAGCTTCAAAATTTACGCCAAAGAGTGATTAATTAATTTATGTAGATTGTGCGTATACTGAAAGCTGCTGCTGCGCCGTTACGCTGTTCCGCTCTATATAAGCGGCTGGCCACCCCCTTCATCTTCCACAACTCGACTGCCTTCCATCTCTCTCTCTCGCACTCCTCAACTCTCTCCTTCACTCTTTTTCATACCTCTCTTGTTTCTTCCTCTATTTCTTCTTCCTACAAACACACCAACCATTCCTTTAACTCCATTCCATTTCCTGTAAAACCAGCAATAGCAACGAAAATGTCGCTGGAGGTTTGCGTGCTGTTCTTCCCACCTTCTGGATCGTACAGCGAACTGACCTTTAGCTTCTTTTTGGGTTTTCTCTTTCTCGCCGCCGTGTTCGGCTTCTGGCTTGTTCCAGGTGGTCTCGCTTGGGCTCTATCCAGGCTTCGTCGCCTATCTCACCACAAAACCACGGCCATTCCAGGGCCATCGGGGCTTCCTCTTCTAGGCCTCGCTCCGGCTTTCACTGGGTTTCTGACTCACATAGTCCTTGCCAAGCTCGCAAATACCTTCAAGGCCAAGCAGTTGATGGCATTCTCAGTCGGGTTCACTCGGTTCATCATCTCAAGCCATCCCGACACAGCCAAAGAGATTCTGAACAGTTCAGCTTTCGCAGATCGACCCATCAAGGAGTCCGCATACGAGCTTCTTTTCCACAGAGCAATGGGCTTCGCACCGTTCGGAGAGTACTGGAGGAATCTTCGGAGAATCTCCGCGACCCACATGTTCTCTCCAAAGAGGATCGTTTCCTTTGGGGATTTCCGAACCAGAATCGGGCTCCAAATGGTGGCTCAGATCAAAGACATTATGGAGAGATACGGTGAGGTGAAGGTGAGACCAGTGCTACATTTCGGGGCGCTGAACAACGTCATGATGAGTACCTTTGGGAGGATTTACGAATTCGGCGATTCTCGTGATGATGGTGGGCTGGAGTTGGAGGAGTTGGTGAGAGAAGGGTATGATTTGCTTGGGGTTTTCAATTGGAGCGACCACTTTCCTGTTCTGGGTTTTCTGGATTTACAAGGTGTAAAGAGGAGATGCAGAAAGCTGGAGGCGAGAGTGAGCGTTTTCGTCGGGAAAATCATAGAGGAACATAGGATGAAGAGGTTTCAAAATGAAACCAGCAAGGCCATGGACGAACAAGAAGGGTCTGGTGGTGACTTTGTTGATGTGCTGCTAGATTTGGAGAAAGACAACAGGCTAAATGACTCCGACATGGTTGCTGTTTTATGGGTGAGTTTTCCTCTCTAATTTCACTGTTATCTTCAAGAACTGCGCTAGCTTAGGCTCTTATGACTCTAGGTACATTAACAGGACTTGTTAAAGGATTGAATACGTTCGTTTTCTTAAACATTTCTGCAAAATATTTGAGTTTGCTAAACTGTACCAAACGTCTTCGAGTAGCATTATTATTCTTGCGTTCAGCATTATTCTATCAGGTGTTTTAATTTTTCTATTCGTGGCGGAAGGCATTTTCTTATCCCTGGTCCGTCCGTTCTATTTGTTGGTCAATTCTGCAGATACGTTTGGCAAATTTGTTGACGGAAAACAGTTTTTCCCACTGCCTAGCATGTGGCTGTATTTTTTTTCCTCCTCATTTTTTCTCCTGCAAAACCGATAGTTTTCGAATCCAATTTCTAGATCAGACGCGCCCGTCTCACGCGCAGATCCTTTCATCATCTGATCTCCTTAAATATTCTACTCTGGCCATCTACGTAATTTTTTTTTTTTTAAATAAAGGTCTGCCTTATTATATATAAAATCTCTAATTACAAATATATATATATATATATATATGCACACGCGCGCAGGAAATGATATTTAGGGGAACTGACACCGTGGCGATTCTGGTGGAGTGGATTCTAGCAAGAATGGTGGTGCACCCACAAGTCCAGTACAAGGCTCAGTGCGAGATAGACTCTGTTGTGGGCAGTAACCGCAGTGTGACAGACCAGGACCTTCCGAATCTGCCTTACGTGCGAGCCGTAGTGAAGGAAACCCTGAGGATGCACCCACCTGGTCCCCTCCTGTCGTGGGCCAGGCTAGCCATCCACGACACCCACGTAGGGCAGCACTTCGTCCCGGCCGGCACCACCGCCATGGTGAACATGTGGGCTATAACCCACGACCAGGAAGTGTGGCCGGAGCCGTCGGAGTTCAAGCCCGAGCGTTTCATGGGGCAGGCTCAGGATGTGTCCGTCCTGGGCTCCGATCTGAGACTGGCTCCTTTCGGTTCCGGAAGGAGGGTGTGCCCCGGGAAGGCCATGGGCTTGGCCACCGTCGAGCTCTGGTTCTCCCTGCTGCTGCAGAAATTTAAGTGGGTCCCTTCTGTTGCTGGCGTGGACTTGGCGGAGTGCTTGAGGCTGTCGCTCGAAATGAAGCATAGTCTGGTCTGCGAGGCTATTCCGCGCGATCCATAAACAATGCTTCCCTCATCAATTCTGCCAAACCATGCTTGCTCTTGGACTGGGGATAGTCAAGCTGCTCTATAGGTTCAACATGTTTTAGTTAGTTAGTTAACCTTTTATCTTTTATTTTTCTGCGTCTGTTTGGAGAGGGTTATCTTTTGCAAGCTTTAATTACTTGAATTCACAGGAACTCTTCTCCATGTTATGTTTATGCAAGCAACATTAATAGTTTAACGAATTTCTCATTTCTCTTTCAATCTAGAATTCTGCATACTCCTTTCAGAACAAAAATATAAGATATTAGCAATTAATTTATTAGTTGAAATTTTAATTTTTTTAAAAAAAATTACATCTTTTTAATTTTATTCTTATTAAATACTCTATATAAGTGCTTTGATAATAATTATTAAAATTTCAGTGCATCATTTAAAAAAAAAAGATAATAAATGAAGTTGGGTATATATAGTTGAAAAAATAATTATAAAAATTACATAATATTTTATATTTTGAAATAAGTAAGGTTTTTAAAAGATACCCAAAAAAATATCACATTATTGATATTTCTAACCATATATAATCACATGTGTGGAGATATGTGATATATATACATATATTCAAACCTTTAGATCCACATGTCATTAACAATATAATCTATTCTTTAGTTCTCATCAATGAAATACATATCTGGTTGGATATGAAAATGACGAGGTTGTGTGTATTTGTTAGTAGTCTTATATAATCAACCAAGGCGTGCAAATGAAACTTACAAAAGCGGCCAATATTTTATATATATATATATATATATAAACGATATATAAGCTGGAAAATATAAATACACACACATATAATAAATTAATTTGAAAAATCAATTTAATCAAGTCTCATTTCAAATTAAATTTTTTATATAATAACTATTATTGGTTCCTCAAAATTTTCTCTGGTGAAAGTGGAATTTAATTGTAAAATTAAACTTTTATTAAAAACGTGTTTAATATATATTTATATATTAAATTATGAGAAAACTTTATTTTCCGTACAGGTGAAACTACGATCGTACCCGATCAAATGGAGGACTGGATGCAATTAATTATGAGAAAGGTGATTTTGCCATCATCTGGTTCAAACCAGGGAATTATTTTGGTCCCCTTTAACTAGATAGACAGGAACAGCGGCATATTGCAAGCTGGTCTCAACCTTCAACATTCAATATTCAATGAACGAGCCAGGCACCCTTAAAAAAAAAGTCATTTATTTTTTAAAAAAAATTAATCAAAATTTTTAAAAATTTTCATTTTATGAGATATTAATAGAAATTAGGAACGAAGTAACGTGGATTTATGTCTTATGAATTACAATAAATATATATAAAGCCACAGTGTTGATGGTATAACCCTAACGGAGGGTTCTGGTGCCCAAGAAAAAGAACAAAGAATGAACTGTGTCTAACGTCCCACATGCTGATAGAGAAGAGAGGTTAGTGAAGGGACATGAGAATTTGAGATGGGTGGGCTTAGCTTTTTGTGTGCTTTAATGTGGATGATATGGCAGCGCACAAACTTAAATGATTGAGGAATAAGAACCTCCATCGATCTCTCTCGGCAATTATATGCTCTCACTTTGCCAAAATTATACTCCTCGCTAGCTAGGCTCGATCTCTGCCTCACATTACATATCCAACAAAGTATATAATAATGCAAACTGTGCCTGTAAAAAGCCTCGCCCCTTTCCCGGCCCCTAAACAAACATCCCAGGATTTAAGAATATCCTCATCAATAATCAACACCCTCCATCGCCTATTATTATTATTATTATTTTTTAATATCTGCATCCATCAAACGCGTCTGCATGCAACACTGCAGCTAGCTTTTTTTTAGTTTAGCTTTCTCTTTAACGGATTCTTTGGGAGTGTCGCTCTCACTATATTCCTTTCCTGTCTCTCCAGTCACACCACGGAGCATGGCTATTGAGTTATTAGCCATCCTCCTCCACCGTCATCAAGGAAACTGCGACATTCACGCTTCTTTCACCATCAACTTCTTCAGATCGCAGCCTTCATCTATAATTAATTCCTCAGGACTCACATATTCCATGTGACTCACATGAACTTCTTTCATTCATCACGCATATTAATTCCTGAAATCCTTCACATTCTCGGGGGAAGCACTTTCAGTTTGTTGTTGTCATCCCTAGTCACGTATGTTAACATGTGTCTATACAAGGTGAACGCGGCAGATGCTCATATATGACATTCCTGAATTCGAAAACTTTTAATATAACTCGTGAAGTATCCATCCATACTCTTGTGTGGCCTAACATGCAATTACTCACTTGTGCTAGTGTACACAAAATATTTTCGATTTGGATCTTGGGAGTGGCACGATCGTTCATTCACTCAATAAGTCTTACATGACACGAAAAACAGCCTTTCAACTTAATCAAATAATTGTAAAAGATTTTGTCATATAATGCTAAAAAATTATCAAATTCAAATTTTTGGAGGAGCTGAAACAACATATAATGTAAGGAGTGTTTTGATCATGGGGGTTGTTTTGAATTTTTAGAGAAAAAAGATATCTTAATGCTTTCCAAGGATTGATGAAATGCAATTATTATAATTGAGACACTCATTAAAATACACAGTCAGCACATGGTTTTTGAAAAGCGTCTGCTCTCAAACATGTTATCCTTCAAGTGAAGAATTGTGATATTTAGGAACAAAAATGCTTGATTACATGGATATGGATATATGCACCTGATTGTATCATTAATTAATTATTATAACCAACCAACATATATACCGAAGGATTTTGTTTGCCAAAGATTTTACCAACTTTTCATTAGTTGGCATCTTATCTCTAATTAATATTCTAAAGGACTGGCTTCACACAAAATGTGGCTTTATATATATAATTAATGCCGCAACATCACACAAGATATCCACTATTATTCCCTTGACTAAAAATGACTTCTTTAGTGTCTTGAACACTTTTTTGTGCTCGTAAAACCTTCTATATATACTTTAACAAATCATGCTATTCATTATGCAATACATCATACACATTTAGATTGAACAGTAAACTGAAAATATGCCTTAGATTTGAAATTCTAATATACTAGCATGTACGAAAAAAATATATGACTTGCCTTAAATTTTAATATGCTTAAGCAGAAGAAATGGACAAAGAATAAAAGAAGAGACTACATTTTTTACTCAAAAATGATAAGCGACTACTCAAAAATTGGGGGAGAAAAGAAATGACAAAAGAACACTATATCTTATTTCAAAATCTCAAAGCTCAAATTTATAAATTTTACATTTTTATTTTGTATTAGTTATTAAATTTAACTATATTTGACGTGTGACTCTTGGATCAAGTCTACTAGCACAGGAAAAAAAAAAAAACATTATTTCTAGGCACCAAACCAATGGACTCTAATTTCAATGGTAGAAAACAAAAAACAACGGAGGAGATCATCAGGAGAGAAGAAGTTACGTTGCAGAAATCAAAATCGATATTGTTTCAAGTATTCTCAATTATTGGGTATCCATTCAAACATGAATTATCATCCAGCAATTATATCACATATACACTGATTCTTTTTTAATTCATAACAGTAAGTAATGTTCGAAAAAGTGTTAATTCAATTAAAAATATATATAGGTTCTCTTTTGTACGTACGTAGTGTTAGATCTTTGGGCATAAACTGTAAATTTAGTCAGAAACAAAAGAAAGCCTTGTACTTAAACGAGATCGAGCCCTGCTCCAAACAAGGGAAAGATTTGCAGTAGAACTATGCACACCTAAAACTGGAAACCGCCCACACATCTCCTTTAAAGAAGAAAAGAATCTAGATCATTTTTAAATCTCTGAAATCCCATTTGCAAGCAAGTGTGATTCTGATGATCTGAAGAAGAAAGGTAAAGAAGAATTGAGCAGATTAGTTAGATTAAGTAAGAATGAATTTAAAATTGGCGCCGCCTCCTCAACTATGAATAATATAGGTTTTCGAGAGCCCTAGAGGAAGCATATGAACAAATCATCATCCTCCACCATTAAATGCACCGTATTTGAATATGATTAAGGGGTTAATTATATGGTACTGTAAGATTATGACAGATGATTAAAGAACCTAATTCTGAAGCCCTCTTTTGCATTTGCATGCGCCTAAAAGCATGAATTTGGGGTATATATATTAATATGTCAGCATCATACAGGCCTGTTGGATGCTTCTCCAACATATACTTTTAACATGTTAAAGAAACATTGGAGAGCAAAAGCATATATTACTTCCTATATATATATATATTATTATTATGACTATGCCTCCATCTCCTAAACTTATGGACCACAAATAATTATAGTAGTGCTTTACAGTACAGTAATAATATAATCATATGCTGAGATATACGTACGAATTGATTATATTATATTAAGCCGAGAATTACATGATCTGGGACAGTTGTGTGGATATCTATGCGAGCAAAAACCAATCACTGATCAAAGTTAATTTTATAGCGAATTAGTCTTTTGCTTTTGGCGGCGTCAAGGTTTCATACTTACCAAATAATGAATGTGGAGGGAGGAGGATGATGATCTCGTGATGATGATCAATCATGAAGATTGGAAGCGTAAGATCAGAATCTGTGTATATCTATGGTCTAATTAATAATTAATTATTATAACCTAAAATAATAGAGGCCCTGAAGTGCAAATTACATTAATTAGAGGTAGTGGGCGAACTCTAGATTTGATAATTTCATATAGTCTGAGTTCAATTTAGTAATGAATTTCTCGTCAAGTATCAACGTCAATGTGAATTATATGGAACTATAATATAAACGGCATTATTTGCACATCATGAATAATTAATGCATTTTATTTTCAAACTCACCAATGATAATGCACAACTTGCCACAAAATGGTCTTAATTAATACTAGTACTACAAGTGTATAACCACCACCAAAGATTCTAATTAATAATTAATGATTAAGATCCAAAATAAGAGGCCCTTGATAGCGCAAGTTAGAGCTAGTGGGAGCTTTAATGAATTTCTCTTCAAGTATATGTCAACGTCAATATGAATTATGAAACTATATATAATATAAATTACATTATTTATAAGTCGCAAAGATGATAATGTGCATATCCAATTAACAATGAGCAAATCAATCGACTTACATGAGTAGCGCACGTCGATTATACGTGTAAGTATTAAGTAGAAGTCATTTTAATTTGCAAGCTCGAAAGTCTTTTT